GTTTAATAACAAATCATAAGCAAGCCTAACTTAAGAATCTGCTGACACCAACACGCATTTTACTAAGCTAATATCTGATCTTCAAAATAATGCAGTATACTCCATTGTAGTTGTAAAATGACATTAGAGCAAGGTGACAACCATTTGACAGCCAGGAGCTATATATTATGTCATTCTGCAAGGGTCACAGTGAACTGAAAATTTTGCTGTCTGACTGTAATGACTTTCTTTTCTTTTTACAAAAGATATGTTGAGGCTAAGTTTGATTTAAACAAATTGTTTCACTTATTGCCAAAAATCATTAAGGACTCATACCTTGATTTAATGCCAATTTGTTGTTTCAATAGTGCAATTTCAGGGAATTCTGGAAACATTTAGGAAGACTTCTGCACTGGAGACAATTCATAAACAAATATGATACCCTCTGTAAGTCTCAGATCTCTGATGTGCAATCTTCTGAAGTTGTTGGGGAAGCCATATTTTGGAGGAGTAGTAGGCACTTTGTATGACAGAGCACCCAGAATATGTGCAGAAGGTCCACACTGCTATTAATTGTAGCTAAAAAGGGCCACACCTGTAGCTTTGAAAACCTATTCCTAAATTACTGCAAAGTACTGCCTACTTGAGCAGATGTGTTCAATGGATAAATTGACACAATGGATACTTAATTCAAAATCAATTTACCGTTGCTTACTCTAAGCCAGGGGTGTCAAACTCAATTTCATTGAGGGCCGCATCAGCATTGCGGTTGCCCTCAGGGGGCCGGGTGGGTGTGGCCTACTGGGTGGGCATGGATGGAGTGGGTGTGGCCTACTGGGTGGGTGTGGCCAGCTCTACATCGTTCGCGTCAAGGGTGCCTGTGGGGGCCTGGGCAGGAGTGGGATAGATCTGAGGGTCTCTGGCAGAAGGGGGTGGAACCAGGGCAAGTGCCAAGGCATGGTCCACTGGAGGAGCCTCACTGTTCCTCTCAGGCCATGCGGGGGGGGGGCTTATGGCTAAGACTGAATGCGTTTCCGCATAGATGGCCACCACAAAATTGTACATTGGCTCCCAGCTGGCCTGGGCCAGGGCCAAGGCAGAGGGGGCCGTTCCCTCACTGTTTCCAGGATGGCTTCGTGGGCCACATAAAACCACTTTGTGGGCCGCATCTGGCCCCCGGGCCTTGTGTTTGACATGTCTGCTCTAAGCCGTTTGTACAGTATTGTTTACGTTTTTAGCTTTGGTCATATATTTTTAGGACTTTCTGACAACCATGATGACTAAGAACATTACTGTAAAATGTACAATGCTCAGTGCTTCTAGATTCATTATGAATAATAACATTCTGCACACTAGGCCAGCCAGAAACTTTATTTCAGATTGTCTGCCACTAAGCCAGTCACAATCATGCGGCAGATGGTTAAGTCCTCCCCAGATGAGATTAACTGCTATGTTGTAAAAAAAAGCATATCCATAACCAGATATGTAACAATTGATACAATGTGCCACTAACATCCCCAATAGAGGTTCACTTATTGAACTTAAAAAGCCAGCATTAACCAGAAATGGTACATGCAAGAAGAGAAAAAAATTACTCAAGCCCAACTTCATTATTTTTAAAACGTGTATAAAGACAAATGATCTTTTTTTGAATGTCAAATTTCAGATTCATGTGGATGCAAACTCCTTCATCAGGAGGCACTGATATGGAGTCCTGGGAACGGCGTATTTCTGAAGAAGGACTTTAGAAGGAAGTAATGTTTCTCAAAGGAAGCAGTTACCTCACATTTGGGATATATTTCTGCAGTATATCCAAAACAACCCAAATTCACACCCACTTTGATCAAAAGGATCATCAAATATATTAGGGGAAATGCAACTCATCTTCAATCAGTGTGTGCAAAGAGGTTGAAGAGAAATGAGAGCAAAACAGATATAGATATAACAGATACAGCACATATAACTGGGAATTTAAAAGCAAAGTTTATATAAAACGTATAACAGCATTTCCTTGTTAAAGAACAAATCAGCACTGATTATTGGAAAGCTAAAAAATAACTTGGCATATAGTTTTGACTTTTGACCTGACTGCAAGATCAGAGAGGGATAAGATCAGATAATGTGTAATTATTCAATAAGGTGTGATTCCTTCTGTTGACTTTGATATCTTATAAGTCTTAAAATAATTCATCATAATGAAAGAAATGCCTTAAAATCCACACTTCCTTAGAAATAACCCTAATCCTTCCAATATAGAAAGTATATCAAATGGAGAAGAATAACAATCAATAAAGCAATTGCTTCTCCTGTAATGAACCTGTTCTTAAGTTCAAGCCCTAAGAATGTTAACTGGGCATCACTTACTCATTAAATGAGGCATAATTTTGGAGCAGGAGTTCATATTATTGGGCTGTACTATTCATTGCAATATAATTTAAACAGGGGTTGGCAACCTGAAAACACCTATTTTAAAATGTAACATTCATAATCATTGACAATTCTGGCTGGGACTGGTAGAAGCTGAAGAGGCATGAAAGTAGCATGGTGATATCATGAAACAGGATAGAAACAGAACTTAGGTCTGTTTTTTTCCAAGTGTTGGTTTATTTATTCTATTAGGCTTATGAGCGTTTTCAATCATGACTGACTCTGAACAGCTTTACGGACCTCCGAAACAGTAAGTAATTTATCAGTAATAGCAAAGCAATACTTTTACTAAACATGAATATGTTGGAGAAGTCAACCATACTGACATTTCCTTCTTTCACTAGAAGCACAGTTAGAATTTTCTATATATTTTAATGACAGTCAGTTTGGTATAGTGGTTAATACATCATGCTACAAACTGGGAGACCATGAATTCTAGTCCCACCTTAGGCACAAAGCCAGTTGAATGATCTTGGGCTACTCACTTTCTCTCAACCCTAGGAAGGAGACAATGGCAAACCACTTATGAAAAACTTTACCAAGAAACTTCAGGGATTTGTCCAGGCAGTTTCTGCAAATTGGACTTAGCAGCATCTGCTCTGAACCTAACTTAAATATAACTATGTATTCTAAAATTGAGAAATGCTAGCAAAAGTTCTTTAACTAACCATAATGCAACATAATACTACCAGCTCAGTTCACATACAGAAAAATGAGATAAGATGGTATAGAAGATTGGAGTGTTACCTTGAAATAAAGTGAGCTGATGCAATTTTTAACCATTAGATCAGTGTTGAAGTATGCATAAAATTGCTTTGCTTTATAAAACAAGGGAATAATTGGGCAGTTAATATACACTTCAATTTCTTGTCTCTGGGCTTCCAAATATACTATCATGTTCTTCAACTGAATAAATATGAGTTTTAGTGGTTCTGGCATTGTTCTCTAGGGGGTCATTTAACAAGGTATCTTGCATGTGAAGTGGAATTAATTTATTCTTATTACACCTCTGTGTTTACTGACAGATGGTTCCACTGTTTCATTGTTAGCAAACAATGTTAAAGTAAAAAAGACATGCTTTATAAACTCAGCCATCAACCAACAAGGGCATAACTATTACTGTCAGATTATTTAGGATCTGCCAGCAAACTACTACAGACTACAACAGAAACATATAATGTCCAATTCCCCCATCCAGAAACAGAATTTATTTATTTATTACATTTAATAGAACAGAACAGAACAGAACAGAACAGAATAGAATAGTTATCTAGAGCCTGCTACCTAGGTTCAGAGCAGATACTGCCATGTATATAGCTCTAAAAATTAAGGGGGGGAGGTTTACTCACAAGATAAAGAAAGATACAGACGTTAACTCAGATATTCCCAGAATCCTTATTGTTTCTGACAAACAGCATCAGTCTTACCAAAAGTGCAGAAAAATCCTAACATAGTAACACATTTAGTTGTTCTGTTACAAGAGGGTAAAAGAAGCCTACATAGTGTGTCTATTTTCCATTTTTAAGTATCTGTTGACTGACTTTATTCACAAAGATATGATACTTTGTTTCCTTAATGGAAAATACAGCTGCTAAAGGATATGCTAGGTTAAATGAGTTTGTTTCATCCATTTCCCTAGCTTTTCTATATAGAGATTTAGGTCAATTGGAATGCAAAACTGTGAAGAATTCTAAAGCTTCTTTCTTTTAGAATCTTATCTCAAATAAACTGTTTATATTTTTGAAAATAGATACTAGCAAAAAGATTACATAGACAACAGTTATTGAGTTTTTGTCATTTCTCTTTGAAAACAGGAAATCCTGCATTTTTTTAAGGGTGACAGCTTCCTTCTAAGTTGAACCAAAATGCAATAGAACAGGGCTTTTCAACCTTTTCACCCACTGTACCACTTTTAGGATATGGCAATATCCAAGTATCACCAGTCGCCTAGCAAGGTGTCAAAAACCTGATGACCAAAAAAAAGGAAAAAAGGAAAAAAGTGGTAAAGTACAAGTAGTCCTTGACTTACAACAGT